ATACTAAGACGCTCTGCACGAAATATGAGTAAACTCGTGACCGTTTACAGTGTGACCCATTCGTAATGTGTTAAGAACACATACCAAATAAACATCTAGAGAAATATTTGAGTTATGACAGCTACATATATTTGCATTACTTATGAAAAGATAAAATACGTGATTTAAAGTGACTATATATTGAGATTCACACTAACAATCGCTTCAGGATATCTTCAGATACAAATGGAAAAAAATCTTAATTATCATGCATATTTGAAATAAATTGTTATTGATCTAAAAAAATGTACAAACTGCTCAAAAATATCCACTTTGGATAATAGCTTCCAATAAGTAGTGAGAAATATATATTTTTGTTTCATTAATTTAAGTACAATGTTTTAATCACTACAGAATTTTTACCAAGAGTCTATGATATTTTTTTTTGGCAGTACTATTCTCCAGTGCTATTAACTCAGCAAATGCGTTTAATTAATTAATTACTTTCAAATTTTGTCATTATGACAATGACCAAGGCCTATGTACCGACTATCTACTAAATTAAATGGTTTCATGTATTATTTGAATAATGGATTTATATATGGAGGCACACGTATATTCGGTGATGTTACCATCATTGTGCACTAAGTGGTTGGTGCTATTCTGATCTCGAATCCAGGATTCCCAACCTCCTGCTTTTGTTGCTTTAGCTGAGTATGCTCCATCTTTAGATGAATTTGACTGACTGTTTCCATCACTTACTTTTGTTTCTGGTTTTCTCTTCCTGACAAGAATCAGGTAATCCACTGTCATGATATAAAAGACAGTTTGGTTTAAATATTAGTGATTAATTTATATTTGCGAGTGAATACTTTATTACTTTTAAGTTTTGTATAGAGTTAAAAGCAGACGATTGTAAAAGGTTTGGTTAATAACAAACTGGTGTCGAGAATATAGAAAGTGGCCAGACGACAATGTAATGGAGATATAAATAGCGTGAGATGAGCGGGAAGCAGCAGACAGACAACAATAGATAGATACTAGCGAATGAGAATATAGCTGTGTGAAGTACCGTAGATGTGATAGGCCTAACGATTGACATAGGCCTAACATTTAATATGTTAGAGTGAAACTAACAATATATATACAAAAAAAAGGATAATTTTATTCCATCAAAGCGTGGTTCTAAAGTAACTGAATCAGCCTGGGTACATTTTGACAAATGGAACAGAGAATCTTCAGAAGAAAGAAAACCAAACGAATTACGGTAACTTGCGCCATAACTGTAAGTGAATCACATTCAGAATACTAGTACAATAGTAATATAGACAAGATATTTCGACTTGTCAAATGAAGTTTTAAAGTAATTGAATAGGCCTGAGGGGACTTTTGACAACAAGAAAAGAACAATATATAAATAGTGTTTATGATATGTATGTAATCTCTATAGTGTGAAGACTTTGTTGTACATATAGACAAGATATTTCGACTTGTCAAATGAAGTTTTAAAGTAATTGAATAGGCCTGAGGGGACTTTTGACAACAAGAAAAGAACAATATATAAATAGTGTTTATGATATGTATGTAATCTCTATAGTGTGAAGACTTTGTTGTACATACATTTAACTTGTTCCAAACATATATATATTATTTGAAAACAAGTAAAGTGTGTGCTGTTTATTCATCATTGAATTTATCGCTAACAAGTCACAGACACCTACTGTAGAAGAATCCTAACCCCAACAACAACATATTATGTATTTATACTATTAAGAAATATAAGTAAAAGCCGTTTATTTCGACAATTGGCAAAAAGAAGAACTTATATATATATATAATCTGACACCCACCTTTACCCATCACAGCTTTGATTACACAGGCATGCAACTTTATTTCCTTCTTTCTTCAGATATTTTTTGCTGAATCTCAGGCTACCTTGTTGCATGACCAATCAATTGAATCTCTTCTTTTAGGTTGAGTATCTCCTCTTTCTCCTTCTTTATCTCTTTCTCACCTTTATTCTGTTCATCCTTGTCTCTTACTTGCTCAAATTATTTGATATCTATACACCCTTCACTTTCTTTGGAAGGCTTTCCATTGCAACCCTGGCAGCTTTACTGGGGGAATTTGCACACACATATTTTCCATCCAGGTCTTAATTTTTTCTATTGTGTCCCTGTTAACTTAGTGCCTTTTTTTCCGTAATGACTTAATCAGAATGCCTTACTCTCTGAAATTCCCCTTCTTCAATCTTATCAGCTTCAGTCAGAAGTAATTTCTTCTCACTTTGGTTTCTTGCATTTCTCAGATCAGTGGGCCACACCAGAATTGTTGTCCTCTACAGCACTGTGGGGTCAATTTCTCTCGTCCTGTTTGTCCCCTTTTTCCTATCAGATGTCTCCCCTCTCAGAGGGCTGGCCATCATGGGTTGTGGAGGTACCTTGTTTCTAGAGATGCCTCTCAGAATTGATCTAGTGGGAGCTTGGCTTTCCAACTTTGCAAACCTGTGGACTCCTTTGCTGAAGACCATTGGGTTACACAGGTGCTTTCCCTGACCTTCCACTCTCTCCAGATTGTGAGTGCTGTTGCAGAGGTTCTCAACCCCACTCTGGGGTGTTACTCTTATCCTCTTGTCATTCCCAAGAAAGTGGGAGATAGGCAGTATGTTACAGATTTGTTACAACTGAACCAACTGTAGCCATTCTAAAGTTCAAGATGGGCAGTTTTTCACTCTGAAGTGGGTGCCCTCTCTCCAAGATTGATGTCTCATATGCTATTCACTACATCCCAATTTATCCACTCACCTATCACTTCTTTCGGTTTGTCCACAAAGTCAAATATTCAGTTCAAAGCTCATCCCTCTGGGTTGGCTAAAGCCCCATATGTAATTATTTAGCTTTTGCATGGAGGATGTATTCTTTAGGCCTCTAGTTCTACTACTTTATGGATGATTGGCTCTTTCTTGCCTTATCCAGCAAGACATCCATTGTTTGAATCTCCCTTTTCCTTTGGGAGTTGTCATTTTTGGTTTGGCTGGTTTGGCTTTCCAAATCAGTCTTAACTTCCACATTTCATTCACTTGAGGGGAAATGGGGTCCTGTCTCAATTTGTATGTGGAATAGAGCTCAGCGTTTTCCTTTATATCTTCGTGACATATAGTTTCTGATTATCAAGTCTCTCCTTATCCCTTCTCTTCTTATGTGAGAAGTTTTTCTTTTTTGGGAACTCTTTCTTCTATGTTCCTCTTGGACATGCCAATATGTTTGCCCTTCAGTAGATTCTGGTTGATTAATGGAGTATGTCCATAGATCCACTGCACTTATGTTTCCCCACCTTCCTTCTCTTCATTTCTTGCTGTCGTAATGACCCAGTCGATCTCACATGACTCTAAGCATCCCTCTTTCCCCACCTCAATTGGGCTTACATCTGTTCAGCCTCCCTCAATGGCTTAGTGGTAAGTTGGAGAGCTTATAACACTAAAAACTAGGTATCAATACCCATGGTGGGCACAGCACAGTTGACCCATTGTGTGTCTTTGTGCTCAGAAACAAACAAAACCTTTAAACCCATGCCAAGTGAGGTGTGGTTCTGAACATCTGCACCACTTCCAGAGTTAAGTCTCCAGTGAAGCAGGTTCTCCATATCAATGTTTTTGAGATCTTTGGTGAACAACAAACTTGCCATCATCTTCTTTCTCATCTGTCTGGTCATCTTATCTTGATACATTCAGGCAATTCCACTTTTGCTTCACGCATCAACTGATATGAAGGCATTCTCTCTTTTCAAAATTAAGTTTCCTTGCTCTAGACTTTCTCCTTTTGTGCACATAATCAGTTTTTGGCGTGTCATGTTCTGAAAGCTTTGACACTGGTTGTAGATTGACTATATTGCTTAGACTGGAACCTTCTCACTGGTGTTTTCAGTGGATTCACTCCCACTTCTGGAGTCTTCTCTTTAGTGCTTTTGTGACTCTTCTCAAAACCAAGCTACCACTGTTGGATCTTCAGCCTTGGACTATACAGCTCTGACAGTGAGTGCTTTTAGTCAGGATTGAACCAATCTCCTTCTATATGCCTAACCTCCTCTTCAACTTCTTCCCATTCCAACTATCACCTGTTATTACAGTGGTTTTTGTCACTGACCTTCCATCTCTTTTTTTTTGGCAGTGGCTCAAAGTAATAGCTATCATTTCTGAGAAGAGGTGAGGAGCATTTCTGAAGGAAGATTTAATTTTTGTCTCAAGATGAATGCATATGTTTAAAGTTTAGTTTTCAGGTTTTTGAAAGACAAATTTGGGTAAACACTGTCACTCTTACCTTAGGGGAACATTAATATCTAAAACATTGTATTAATGCTAAATTAAAACATAAATAATATTTTGATATGATATGATGACACGAACATATATAGGGGCACATTCAAGAGACCTCACCCCTTTTTTTGTCAAGATAATTTTGTATATATTAAGGGTGAACTATTCTAGATATAGTGGCCAAGTGATGTGTAACACTTCCAGCAAATCTACTGTTACTTTAACTACATTTACTCACACAGCTCTTCTGTTACATGTTACTACGATTTTAGCAACAAAACAAATGCAAATGAAAATATAACAATTCTAATGTCTGTAGAGTATTTTAATTTCTAAATAGCTGTGAGTTTTTTGTGAATGTTAAACATCTCAGAAATGTTGGTTTACTTGTCAATCAGTGTTTTTGTATGCAAAAACGTTCAAGCTAAGTGCATGTTTATGGTGAGCAACTAATTTTAAAATCAGCATCATTCCTTTAACTGAAAATCCTGAATCCACTCCTGATATAATCTTAGAGAGTGTGACATTAGATTATTTTATTACCTTACCACACATAAACCTGAATCACAAAGCAAGTTTTAGAAGGGTGATATTTGAAAAACATTTTTGGTTTTTATCACTTTTAGTTCATCCTTTTTATGTTCTATTATCATAGTTTTGTAGTTTAGGAGCATTTTCAAATATTACAAATATACATTTAGTTTCTTACATCTTTGATACGCATTTGTAAGTAATCTTTTTTTCTTTTGACTTGCTTTTGCATCAGATTTTTCTGTTAATAAACAGATAAACATTTATTTTCAAATATTAACATTCACTTTTTTATGTATTACAATAGGTTACAAATTTATTCAAATGTAAGATTCACTTCTAAGTATTTAACAGTCAATAAAGACATTTAAAATACAAGTAGAATTAAAAATGAAAAAAAGGAATATTGAAATCTAACCTTGTATATCACATCACACTCAATTTCTTGAAATAGGAGTCATAAAAGCCAAAATGCATTTATCCAGATTGAACAGTTTGGTTACTGTCTGCCTATTACGATTTCAGTAACAGGGTGCCATGAGGGGGGAGGTGTGTAACACCTTATAAGTGTAGTGAGTGTTGGTATAATAAACCTAAAGTAAAGACATGGTGTG